GAATTGCATGAGGAAAAGCCAAGTTATCCTAGAATGATCATCCACAATGGTTAAGAAATATCTTGCATTTCCATGAGTGGGTATCTTATATGGACCCCAAACATCCATATGCAATAGATCAAAGGTACAAGCAGTAGTAGATTGACTCAACGGAAATGGAATCCTAGTTTGTTTAGCTAGTGGACATATATAATAGTAGGGTGTATGTGTCAGTGACAAATTAGCATGTATCAATATTAAGATGTGATATGGAACATGCCCTAACCTATGATGCCAAATTTCTGGATTATTATTGAAAGAAGATGCAGATGATGACAAAGAGATACAATCTTTGTTAGTTTGTAAACCAAAAGATACGTTTTGCATACAACAGGAAGTTTTGTGGGCATTGTCACTTATTGTTTGTAAATTGGTTACATTGGTTTTTAGCTTTAAAAGATGCATGAAATAGTATAGCCCTTGCTTATGTTTACCAATCCCCTTCAACTTGCCACTCCAAAGGTCCTGAATCGAACAAAAATCAGGATAAAATGTAACTGAACAATTGTTTAAAGCAGTTAACTTGGACACTGAAAGCAAGTTGTACTTAAAATCTGGTAAATGAAGCACATTATCTAAAGAAATCCTTTCATCCAAACTAACAAAACCAGTATGTTGTATGTTAGTTTTGGTACCATTTGGAAGTCCTACCAATGTGTTATGGGATGTGCCTATATCAATAGGAGATTCTAGGCCTAAATAGTCATATGTCATATGGTCTGTCGCTCCTGAATCTATAATCCAATTACTGGCAATATGACATGAATACAGAGAAACAAGATTACTTGCAAGGTTAGCTACTGGAGCTGATACATTCTCTTTCCCAAGCAGTTGCAAGAGCTAATTATATTGCTCAGTTGTAAGAATGGTTCCAAGATTTGTGCCAGACTTAGAATCACTGGTCAGTTGTGAAGATTACACCTGATTGGCCTTAGCTTTTCCTCCATTTTTTCTTTTTGTGAACTGATAATCTGTAGGGTAGCCGTGTATCTTGTAACAGGTATCCTTTCTATGTCCAGGAAGATGACAGTGCTCACACTCAAAATATGGCTTCTTTCCTTTGTACTTCGGATTCCGGTTTTGTGATTTTTGATTATTCTGTGCATAAAGTGCAGTTGAAAGCTCTGAATTGGTGTTGATTCCAGCAAGTATCTTCTGACTTTCATCCTGATTCACAATTGAGTACACCTGTTTCACCGACACCAGTGGTGACATTAATAGTATTTGGCTAGGCACCATTGAGTAGGAATCATTAAGTCCCATGAAGAATTGCAATAATTTTTGCTGGTTTAAATGTTCATGATAAGCCTTTGCTGTAGCACTGTCAGGAGGTGGCAAGCTTACTAAAGCATTCAATTCATGCCATAGAGATTTTAGTTTGTTAAAATACACTGCCACATAGTTTGTACCATGGACAAGATTCATAACTTCTCTGTGAATTCCAAAAATTCTTGTACCAATACCTTGTGATATTGCTCCTGAAGATCTTGCTAGACTTGAGACGCATTTGTAGAGTAAACAATTCCCCTAAAAATATATTTGGATACTGTGTTGAAAATCCAGGCCAATACCAAAGAATTGCGCCTTTCCCATTGTGCATGTAAAAGAGTATCAAATGTCGATTTCTTGCAAGTTCCATCCACAAACCCTAACTTGTTTTTAGCACGCAATGATACTGTCATAGCTTTACTCCAAATTCCATAATTTTCAGTCCCAATAAGTTGTTCTGAGACTAAGACCGAACCTGGAGTATTTGATGGATGTATATAAAGAGGCAAATTTGGATCTGTTGCTGCTATATTCGGTTCTCCATTGACACCTGCCATTATTGCTTCAATTTCTGAAATCTCTTCTTTCACTACTCCAAAAAGAAACGAAGGATTGATTTAGAGTCGAGGGATTGATTTGGAGTACCTAGATTATAATGATTCTTTCTAGCTAATATACTTGGAAAATATAATACGATAAAAAAAAACATAAGCATAAAAATGAAAAGTAATGGGCCCAAAAATTTCTTTATTATATATATATATAATTCTTTACATAGCAAAAGTATCATATACACAAGCTCAAAACAGTGGACAGTAGTGCCATTTCTCTCCGCTCCTCGACGTCCATCCGACCGCTTCTCACCTATTTCTTGTAAAAACATTTAGAAACAACGGGGTGAGCACTAGTTGCTCAGTAAGTAAATCTGCTACACTAATCTTCTATCTCCGTTGCTCATATTCTGAATTCTTTCGTTATGTTACTCTTTTTCTTCTTCTCGATTCTTTCTTTGTTCTTTTTCTATTCTTTCTTTATTGCTAGTTCTCACTGTTCTTTTGTTCTAACTTTCTTTGTTCTTTCTTTCTAGTTCTTTCTATTCTTTCTTTCTTCTAATTTCTCACTATCCAAGATAGGAATCATGGTATCATGCATAGATGAGATGCAAATACACAAATGCATAGAGATGCATTCTCTATTTTCTTTTCCGTTTCTTATTCTGTTTTCTTTCTGTTTTCTATATTTCTTTCTTTCTTTCTTTCTTCTTCTTTTCTTGCTTGCTTGCTTATTCTTTCTTATTCTTATTCTTTGCCGATCGGACTCGGTTGATGCGTGGATTCAGAACCTTGGTCGTGTGAGTGAGTACAGTCCTTATCTACATGCACTCTTACAGACTGTGCAAATTCTTTTCTTCTTAGGCTACTCATTTAAGGTGGTATGCATGTAGGTATTTCTTCTGGGTACAACCCTCATCCATATGCACTCTTACGGGCCGTACAAATTCTTCTTCTTATTCTTAGGCCACTCACTGAAGGTGGCGTGTATGTGGGAATATTCTTCTTTTTGTCACCCATGGGTTTCCCATCGCAACAACCTTTATTTTCTTTCCTTTAGTACTTTTCTTTCTTTCTCTTTGTTCTTTAGTGCTTTCTTTCTTTCTCTTTATTCTTTAAGTTCCCATACATATGCATATGTTTGCATGTAGATGATTCACGCTTATTATTCTTTCTAAATGCAAATATTTAATGCAAGAATGCCATGTAGCATAAAAATAAGTCTTTCTCTATCATCTACAAGCTCATATCAAGATCACAAATAAATACACTCAAACATACACTTCTCTTGGACATTTCATCAAACATAATGCATGCATACTCAAATTCTAATTTAGCTATACTTCTACTTCTTTCTCAAACCACCAATATTTTGAGTAAAACTCCCTTAAAACATTATTAAACCTGGCCAGGAAATAAACTCCATAAATTATACTCAAACTCTTTCTAAATTCAACCAAACTTCCATCAATTTCTATCAACACAACCATCCCTTCTCATGGTGTAAATCCAATCATGGATCATCAACAAACTCAACAACAATTCCATCAACAAATCTCAAGCATATAAATCCATATAAGAAAATCTCTACACTTTTATTGCTCAATCAAGGATTAGGGTTCAATTTACTTACCTTGCACTTGAGTACTTCCACTAGAATCTCTCTTTCTTTGGTAGACTTGTTCTTTCTCTAAAACTCTAAGCATAAAAACTATAAGAATTCAACACTTTAAAAATTAATCTCATATCTATTGCAAGAATTCTTACCTTTGGATGCTTAGGATAAAATCTCTACCAAAATCCAACCAAAAGCCCTCTAATTTTCCTTGGAAATTTGATGAAGAGATTGAGAATGAAAGTGGTGTGTGGGGTGTAGAGAATGGTAGGGTTTGTGTGCTTGAACCCTTACTATCTCATATTAATATTCATACTTTCCCATTTTGCCCTTACACTTTCTTGAAAATTTCATCTTTGTCATTTAGTCAATTACAAAAATGCCCTCATCACCATTGCATTCTCCATCAAATTTCCTTACTTTTCACTTCCCATATTTTCAACTAATTAGGGGTAGAATAATCATTTTTCCCTTCAAGAAATTTCTCTAGAATTTTCTCAAGAATTCCAGCTAGCTCTTTGCCTTGGCGAAAAATTCCAGAGCATACGTCGCCACGGCAAACTTTTTTCTTGGCCGCGGCGAAGTCTAAAATTTCCAACTTTGTCAATCTTCCACCTTAAAACCAACAAAACTAAGGGCAACTAAGCAACATTAAGAGCATACAAACATAACTAAGGGCAAACAAGCATAATTAAGCTATGTACCGCAATGTGGACGTTACATAGATCAAATCAAGTTGCGGACTAACTAAGCTGACTAACAGTAGTAGACTACTCTAATACAGTGCTTCTCCCAATCTTGATTCATATGAATCTTATAAGTCTCTTAAAGGATAATTAAGATTAGGCAAGCTACAATAGTCCTAGATTGTTTCTAAAGACAATCTAGTTCAAGGGTTTTTCAATCATGTCTTTTTAAGATCCTTTTTCGTCTCTGAGAGAGTGCCATTTGAAACAAGGAAAAAAGAAAATCTTTTGGATAACTTTGACTATGCAATTATTACAAAATTCTCAAAATAAACTAAACGAAGGGGAGTTTATCCAATAGTTTTATTAAATTTGTTTCTTAAAAGATTTTATTTTTTCATTAAACAAAGTCATTAGTAAAGCGAATACATTTTTTTTTTTTTTTTGTGTGTGTAAATATTGTTTTTTCTTTTTTGATTTTGAAATTACAATGATATATTACGGTTAAAAAATAGTCATTTATGATCACTTGAAGAAAATGATGGTAAAACTGAAATTTCAATCATGAACTTTGTGGGTCGAGCACCACCACCAAGGAAATCTTTGTTTAATTTTGAAAACTCATAGTGTTCCTTCTCAAATGCTACAATAGATTGAGCATAGACATTAACGAGTATAGAAAGTTTGAGTCATATTGATCGGCGTGTGGTCACATTTGATTCTTAAATGCTTTGTTGGTATTGCAAGTATAAGCTTTAACATCTACATGCTCAATCAAGTATAAACTTTTTTTCTTGGCAATCAGAGGGCCCTTCAAATGCACCCTGGTTTGTTGGCATACATATGCAATGTGGAGGAGCAAGACAAGCCTAACGTTCCTCCTATATTTCAAAGCAATCTTTTTGACCCTCTTTCTTATTCAGCTATAAGTTTTCTTAGAATGTCTGAGATGAGGTGAAGTGGTACTTGTGAATTTTCTGCCTGGGACACATGTAAATGGCAATTTTCTGGATGTTTAATATCATTGGATGGGTTACTTTTTAATGCTATTTTAAGATTTGTTTCTATCACATCGTCTCAAATGTAGCATCATCATTCTTTTTCTGTTTCTATTTTTGCCTTTAAATGGGATCCCATCGATCGTAGCGGTGAGAATACTCCATCGACGGTCAACATCATCATATTTACTGGTCATCCAAGTGAGCTTTTACAAAAGCCTCTTGCATGAAATAGTCCTTCAAGACATTCCAAAAATGACTAATATTTCTGAACTCTTCTGATTTTGTTTTGCCTTATGCATACCGAAATTCTTCCCTATCATAGCGTTGGCCAACTTGCCTATCATAATATGACGAAATGGAATAGATGAGCACAAGAATTCTTTGATAGTATAAAGAAATGGAAGCTTGAGAAATCTTGCCTTAACATTTATATATGTATTGATCATCTCATCCAAAGTTTTCTCGTTAATTGCAAGTATTGTTTGCTGTGGAATATTCAGTGGTAATGCAAATTTGCACCAATATTTTTCAGTTATTGTTTCATTATGAGTTAATGTTAATTTCTATGGTTCATGGCATGACAGGAGATTCTTTTTCGTCTACAATCAGGCAGTGCAGATGTGAATGATCTCAATGAGATGTATTGATTCCTGTTAAGCGAAAAGATGATAATTGGTTTTGTTCAATGAGTGGAGTACTTTTCTTTTTCATGGTCTTTTTAACTTCGACAGTTCCTTGTGATGAACTCTCTATATTAGAGTAGTTGACAGATCAAGTAATATGATACAAAATCAATTGTATTTCTATTTAGAGGGTATTAATTAAATGTTGTTGAGTAGCATTTAAAAGGGGAAGTTTTACCTTTAAAGAGCTGTGAGAGGCATAAGATCTTGGAGGGTGGAAGACTATATACATAATTTCATTGTGATCACTCTCAAGATGATACAAATGTTGCCCAGCACCATAGTCCCCAAGAAGTTGATATGATCTTTCTGATTGATCCATTGCAAGACATAGATCATCAATGCCTGAATTGAACAACACAAATTTCAACTAATCAATTATTTTCTTCATATCAATGTATTTTACCTTTAATTATCAATTATTGATCATTAATCATCAAACAAAACCAATTGACTAGTTTTACAAGTTGACTCCAATTCAATTAGAGTATCCATTTCAACTTTTTGTAAATGAGCCCCCGTTCAATGGTCCCTCCCTACAGTTATGAATTTCGAGTAGTATTTAAGATCTCTCATTTTCTATTATCTAATAAATCACTTGATAAAAGTAGATTATCGTCTCAAAATTTCCATAATCCCTTTCTCAGTCAAACATTATTTTGTTTGGTTGAAGTATAGCTATTTATATTATCAATTTAACAAACTATTACATAATTAAATTATAATGGTTGGATTACTATAAATTGACACAATAATCAAATCTTTAAATATGTAGTAAGATAATGGGAAAAGACTTACAGGCAGCCAATTCAATTTGAGTTTGATAAATAAAATCCAAAGTTGCAGAAATCTCCCGCTCAAACTCATGAAATGGTCCACTCGAAAAATTCATTTTACGGAGCTTACCAAGTCCTTCTCCCAACTCCATCATTGCTCCTTTATGGTTCTGTATTAATTAATTAATTATTTTAAACAGCAATTAATTCTAATAGAGAGTTTAATTAATTATTAGAAAAACTAAACTAATTACCTGGTTAAATAGGTGATAAAATCCCACAGCGCATTGAAGAATACCATGAATGAGAGTTCTAGTTGGTTCTTCGGCGCTGTACCATAGAGCTTCAAGAGAATCATGACATTCATAGTAAGCCCTCTTGTTGAAAAGTGCAACTGCTTCATCGAAGCTAGAGTTTGAGTTTTCATCATCATTTTCATCATCAACGGAGAAACGATAAAAGAGACGAAAGGACTTGGAATTGATGGTGTAGATTGAGGAAGGTTTGTTATTGAGCTTTAAAGATTGTGAATAATTAGACCGCAGAAGGAAGAGTGAAGTTGTGGATGGAGGAAAACAAAGTGAGGAGAGAGTAAGAAATTTGAGAGCAAGTGCCATAGCTGTGTTGTGTGGTCGAATGGAGTCGTATGAAATATGAGATAATATCAACCATATATATCTTCTGACCTTAAGACTATAAATATTTATAAACTTCATAGATTTTTAGACACAAATATGACGATTTTTATAATAAGGTCAGCATCAAATCAAACGTTAGGGGTTATATTTATATACCATTGTCAAGAGTTGCTTGGTCTATTTAAAGTCCAATTAAGATGTGTGGATGTTAGGTGATTAATAAATTGTTGAGCTTTTCTCAAGAGATTGAGATGTTTAGAGATAAAATATAATTGAATAGAGTATCTTATTTTTTTATGTAATTATTTGTATTTACTCTCCTTAATATATAAACACATATTTGGAATAACAATTCTTTCAGTTACAAGGTGTCGAGTTTCCTTTAAGAATCAGGATGTCTTCAGTTCCCTTCAAGCAAACCAATTTTCTTAATTGACTTGCTTTTTATTTCATTAAAAAATAGATAGAACTAGAAAAACTTCCTCTCAACCATTAAATCGACCAATTACTATATCAGTTACCGAACATGTGACAAATTAGTATCAAAGCCAGACATTGTAGATGCTCATCAAGAAATAATGTTACGTTAAAGCATATTGAAAAGATGTTCAAAGTGATGAATCCATGCTTTCATCAACTCTCTAATACCAGTCGTCAGACTTGGGAGAAAACTACTAAACATGAGACTACAGAGTCTGAGGAGACTGCTCGAGAAAACTCCACCATATCGTATCTTCCTTGATAGTGAAGCTAAATTTCTCTCGCTTCAATTGATAAGAAGATCCCTCAAGTTGGATATGTCGCACTAATCAGTTTTTGAGTTCTACTACACTTCAAAAGAGGAAAAAATACAACCAGTATCATTCAATTTGGAAGGGGACACATATCCTATTAATTTGAGGGAGCAAGGAACTCCTATCATCACTTGGTAGGTTTTCAAGGGTGACCTTCATAGTAGATTTGGTCCTACTCAATTTAATGATTTCTTTGGAGATCTAACAAAGTTACAACAAACGGGTTCGACAATAGATTCACTACAAGAAAATATAGAATCAGCAACTAATTATTTTGCAACTAATTAAAATAGTTGCTGAAACTCATCTTTAACAACTAAATTGAATTTAGTCGCCCAAAGTAATTGCCATTTTTTGGCGCCCTCATTTCCCAGAAAAATGAAACAATATGTTAGTAAAATTAATTTTTGATGACTAATGTTTTAGTTGCAAATAATGTTTTTTGGCAACTAAGTGTTTAGTTATCAAATAGAGGTAAATTCAGCCACCCCTTCTGTTAGTGTATGGTTGTATGTCCTAGGAACCAATCATGTTGTCGGTTTTAAGACATTATTTCTTGTAAATATTTATTATTCATAAAAGAAAGAGTTCTTATTTTTCACATGTTTGTTTACTGCTTCGTTTATACAACATATATATATAATGTTTGGATGATGTGGATCTTTAGAAGATTAAATTATCGAAACATTCCTTACGTAAGTAATGTTAATTGGGCAATAACATTGCATAGTAGGCATGCTGAATATCTCCATTGAATATCACGGGATAATAGAGTTATGACACTAGGGCATTAGCATAGATAAACGATTAGTGAATTGTTTATCAAATATGACGAATTATGATGAATCACATGGACTACATCGTAGATCGTAATAGTGTACTACATATCCTTAGACTTGATATATCACGATTGGATTTGACATAGGATGCGTATGGTTCATATGGTGTATAAGCACGAGACTAGTTATGTTTTATGCAAGAAGCCCATTTGGTCATATGTTATTCATGAACGAGAACAAGTGATGGTCAAGACGGAATCCGTTGACTCAAAATAGTTTGATGTAGAGTTCCTAGTCGAATGTCAATAAACATTGGAAAAAGCAAATCTTTGCCCAGAGTATATAAAGATGTCATATGAAAAGTAGTTTCATGATAACACGTTTCACTGTATTGATTGACGATTTGATTAAAGATTAAGTTAAGGGTTTTGACATACCATGAACTATTCTTAATCGGGATTAGATGATGGAGGGATTTTATTACATGGTACATACGATCGGATAGGTTCATTGGAGTATAACTTCATTGTGGCTTTAGGGTTATGGAGCACTGCTAAATGCCTACCATGATCGGTAGGAGTTTTGATCATAAAGAGTTATGACGAAATATATCGGAATACAATATTGGGCACACAACTAGGTTACAATGAACCTAAGTGGTCATACCTAAAAAATAAGTATGAGATGTTAGAGTGGGTGCCCTAGAGCCAATCAATTATTGTAGAATTGACTCTTTGTAATAATGTTCATTGATCAATAAAAAAACATTTTATTCTATATCGCGTAAATCATTATTGTATGTATTGATATATGTCCTTAGAATGTAGAACCGTGACGAGGGTATCAAGTGTTTCAAATCTTGATAGTGAGAACCCTATGAGCTTATATGGTGGTCATTCTAGAAACGTTCGTAGCCTTAGTATTATTCTGAAGTAAGTGCATAGATAATACGATAAGGCTATCATAGTGTTGAACGACGTTGTCGAAAGGCAGTGACTGATCTCACTTATCAAGGTTGTTTGATGACAACATGGTGCAACACATGGGTGCTTGTTGTAGGCAAGTTCACTGGACTGACCCACTAGAGGATTCCATATGGATGGTAACCCTAGTGTCTATGGAACAAATCCTCTAACAAATGGTGGTGGATGTGATCCTTAAACTTGAGATTACTGGAGCACCTTGTGCACTGATTGGTACAGTTTGACACTAGCCCAACATAGTTCTATTAAGCGCTGTCAATACAGTAGTGATTGGCTGCATCAAGGAGTGTATCAAGACTATGGTGGATTAACAAATGATTCATCACTCCCGGGTACAGGAGAAGTTATCTCACAGTGCAATTTAGTAAATGGTAATGACACTAAAACTGTGGCCACAGTGGGATTGAGTTGTTGCTCTATCCAGATTATTATTTCGGTCATTGGTCCAGTAACTAAATACATACATATCGAGAGTAACTGAGGTTGACACTATTTCTGTGCCTCGGTCTCGTTGAGATAACAGATGATGAAAGGATTGGACTATACAATAACCATATCTTTGACAAGTAGCTGCTTCGCTGAATTCGAATCTATCGGGTGGTCATGATGCCTTGCTAGAGGCCAATCTTGGTCTGTGTATAGTGAGATGATTAATTGGTGTTAATCACGATACTACACACTACCGGTGTGATAAGGAGCCTACGGGTCACACACGTAGAAGATAATTTAAGAACTAGTTTATAAGAAGGGTGTTTTCATCTTTTTAGGCAAAAGGGTATTTTGGTAATCTCACAGTGCAATTAAATTTGCTGAGGTCGTAGCCTTTATTTAATTTGATATTAAAAATTAAATATGTGAGATTATATTTAAATATGTGTTCTCATATATTTAAATGAATTATTGTTATTGTTAAATGTTAATATATGATATATATATATATTAATTTAATTTAATTGAAATAATAATAATAATAATTAAAATATCTAAATGAGGCTATTTGGACATAGGGGTTGTTTGGGTTGGTTCCCAAGCCTATTCCATGAGGGAATAGGGCATTGTGTGCACTATATAAGTGCAGAATTTTTGTGAAATGATAAAACATTTCATTCAATCATTAAGATTAAAAATACCAGCCCCCTTTTCTCTTTTCCCACGCCAGATTGCTTTTGTGTTGAATCAAAATATTATTCAATTTGTTTTCGGATTTTAAGGCTAAAGAGGATCTAGCAAATCCCTCTTTAGTTCCTCGGGGTTATCTTCGTGTGGACTACCGCTGGTTCAAACCTATCCTTGGATCGGTAGCGAAACCTGTTCAGAGACAAGTTGGAGGAGCCTCCAAACGTGCTTATGATTTCTTAACTCTAAACTGATTTTTTTTTCTACAGATTCTAATATAATGTGTAAACTATAAATTTGTGCCTTGATCTTGGTTCTAAGGAACGATCCATATTGTAAATAATTTTTGTTTTCCGCTGCCATAACTTGATCGTTTCCTAACAGTGGTATCAGAGCCTAGGGTACCAGATTTTATAATTTTATGTATGGTTAATTACATATATTTGATTGATAACATGTTGCCTTGATGAATCTGCACAAAATCTGCCTTGAAAGCATGTTTTAAGAAATCAATTTAATTGATTAATTTAATTTATTGATGATCTGCAAGTTTGGTATATTGGGTTATGGATTTTTGTTGAAATCAGTAGTTTAGATTGATTGCAAAATCCTGTAATACCCAAGATGTCAAAGGTATGTTCCTAACTCAAAATAGTCTTTTAGATGTTAATTTTATGTTAAAAAGCATAAAATCTAACTAAGGGCAAAATAGTCAATTCATTTGGAACGATATGAATCAATTATCCATAGAAAGGTATTAGGGGCCAAATAGTCATTTTGCCTATGGATAAGCATTGAAAAGTCAAGGATGAGTAGGCTTAATTGCATTTAATGACATTAATTAAGTAATAATTATGTTTAGAGCGAAATGACCAAAATGCCCTTATATGAAGAATTAAGGACTTATGAGTTCTACAATTAAAATAATTGGGCCAATAGTATAATTTTGAAAAATTAATGAAATGTTTTCCTATAAATGAGAGGAAATTCGTTTAAGCCAAGGGAGAGAGCATTTCTTCAACCTTTCTTCCATTTTCTCTCAAATCTTCCATGAAACAAGCCTTCTCTCTCTAAGTTTTAAAGGAGTTTTGCATAATTTTTCAAGGAGAACAAGATAGGAGCCTTGGATCTTCAAGTTGAAGGGTTTAAGGTAAGGATTAAAAACCCTAGTCTTGATGTGATTTGAAGATTTGAAGTAGATGTTGAGGTATAATGTTATATATGTAGGATTAAGGTATAAAAGAAGACAAAGACAAATGATTTGTTGGAGGAATTCTTTAAAAAGGTAAGGAAGAACCTCCTATGACTTTAGGGATTATGCTAGCGTTTATAGATTTTTTTGAAACCTTAAATTAAGGCTTTAAGG